CCTGGAATGCTCTTAAGAGAAAGTAACTTTCCCAGAAGCCAGCAAACCTCTCCTCTTATCTCTTTGGCCAGAATTAGGTCACATGCTTACTTTTGAACCAACACTGGCAAAGAGGATAAGATATCATTTTGACTGATCAGGCCTATCCCTTAAATTGAGACCAGTTTCCCAAACCACATGGCTGCTGCTTATGGGATAGAATGGATGTTGGGAAAGTCGCTTCACCAATTTAAGATATCTGAAAGAAGGGACAGGTAAATGAGAAAACCCTCAGGTGGTGACCAGCCCAGGCACATAACTAAGAGAGAACCCACAGGATTAGGAGTATCCTGGGTAAGCCAGTCGAGGGTCTAGCATGATACAGATTGTCTACTTTGAAGACCCACGTGACTGCAGATCCTCCCTTTTCCCCTTCTCTGGCATCTCCTATTTTTGTTAACTGCCTTACCTTCTTCAGCCATCTGCATATTTATTCCGGCTCCCTCGCCTAATGGGAGGAAAATGCACTATTCAACTTCTGGTAACTTTATTCCAATTTCTCTCTGAAGAAAAACCTCCTGACATATGTAAGGGTTGGTCTCATTATTTTTCCCATTTTTGCCAATGAAATAACTAAGGCTTTATGATAGTCTTGGGAAGATTACTTCTCCCTGGATCTGTCTACTCACATGAAAAATGAAGGGAGTAGACCAGAAGATTAATAACCTCTCAAGCTCCAGGAGTTTCTGTACTCTTCCTCCTGTCTTTTCCAAGATGACTTCAGCCGTGGCTGAAAATTCGTGTCGTTTGTTGCTGCGATGCTGTATGCCTAGCTCTTCTTCGTAGTCATCATCTCTCCAACATTCACTATTTTGCTTTCACTGCTTTGGGCCATATGCAAATCCTGCCTTCCTTTTTCACTTTTTGGGCAGGCTGTCACTAAAAGTAATGAGGATTCCTTAATTTTCTACATGGCTTTTTCCTGTTTCTACCTTTGACCTTGTGCTGCCTCCGTTAAACACAGCACAACAGTGTAATGGAGTTCAGCGAACATTTCATTTCCAGAAATTTAATAGGATATTTCATGAAAAAAACATTTGTGTGAATTAAGTATAGGAGACAGAGTCGACATCTGCTTTTAGTCTCATCATGAGGCCCACTCTTCCTCCATTCCAAAGTTGCGTGGCCGCTGTGACTTCCCACTATTGCACTTCCCCAGTCAGAGTTGATTGGTTCATGAGATGGTATCTAACCCAAGGCGATCAATCAAAATCCTTCCCTAGAATTTTTTTTTAAACTATAACTAGAAAAAAACAGTCAGTCCTCTTTGTAGTAACAGAAGACACTTTAGGTAGAAGAGGTCAATCCATAATAACAGACTGTGAAGTTGATGTGCCGAGAGAAGTAAAGATAAGAGATGGTGAAGGATTCCAAAGGCATTAGATTTCTTGGTTGCATTCTTGGTTGAATTCACCTCTACTTTTCCCCTAGTACTAGTACACAAACCACACCAGGTATAAGCCCATAACTAATATATTTTACCTAAGTTAATACATGTTTAGTTCTTGTCACTTAAACACAAGAGATTTAATATGAGTACTGAGAAAACTGTGTCCCTATAAGATTCTTTAGAACTGAGTCTAGCATTTTTATTCGACTGTGATTTGCATACATTTTTATTTTCTTTAATTGCTTGCCTCTGAGTATTTGTTTATGGCATTAAAGATTGGGTTTAGAGGCCAGGCACAGTCACAGCGGCTTATGCCTGTAATCCCAGCACTTTGGGAGGCCGAGGTGGGTGGAGAACCTGAGGTCAGGAGTTTGAGACCAGCCTGGCTAACATGGTGAAACACTGTCTCTACTGAAAGTACAAAAAATTAGCTGGGCGTGGTGGCATGCGACTGTAATCCCAGCTACTCAGGAGGCTGAGGCAAGAGAATCACTTGAACCTGGGAGGTGGAGGTTGCAGTGAGCCCAGATCACGCCATTGCATGCCAGCCTGGGCAAGAGTGAAACTCCATCTCAAAAAAAGAAAAGAAAAGAAAAGATTGGGTTTAAAAAATGGGATTTAGAGGCAGAAAACCTGAGTTGAAGTTCGGGCATTAATACTTTTTAAACATGATGACATTGCAAGAGCTTCCCTGAGCCTCAATCTCTTTCCTAAAAAAAAAAAAGAAAAAAAAAGGGACAATTAAAATTGTTGCCTTAGCAACCTCTCAGAGTCATGATGATAATCAAAATAAAAATTGGGGAGGTATGGGGCCGTATTCATCTTTGCATTTCCAACGTCTACTTTAAAGCCTAGGACAGTGTAGTACATACTGAATAAATATTTGGTGAATGAAAGAAAAAACACAAAAGTATTTTATACACTACAAAGCGGGGATCCCCAAACCGCTGGCCTTGGATCAGTACCAGTCTGTGGCCTATTAGGAACCAGGCCACACAGCAGGAGTTGAACAGCAGGTGAGCAAGTGAAGCTTCATCTGTATTTACAGCCTTTCCCCATCACTCATATTGCCACCTGAGCTCAGCCTCCTGTGAGATCAGTGGCAGCATTAGATTCTCATAGGAGCACAAACCCTACTGTGAACTGCACACATGAGGGATCTAGGTTTCATGCTCCTTACGAGAATCTAATACCTGCCCACGCACAGTGGCTCACGCCTGTAATCCCACCACTTTGGGAGGCCAAGGCGGGCAGATCGTGAGGTCAGGAGTTCAAGACCAGCCTGGCCAACATTGTGAAACCCCTTCTCTGCTAAAAATACAAAAATTAGCCAGGTGTGGTGGTGGGTGTCTATAATCCCAGCGACTCAAGAGTCTGAGGCAGGAGAATTGCTTGAATTTGGAAGGTGGAGGTTGCAGTGACCCGAGATTGCACCACTGCACTCCAGCCTGGGTGACAGAGCAAGACTCCATCTTGAAAAAAAAAAGAAAACAGTTCTAATGTCTGATGATCTATCACTGTCTCTCATTACCCCCAGGTGGGACCATCTAGTTGCAGGAAAACAAGCTGAGGGCTCCCACTGATTCTACATTATGGTGAGATATATAATTATTTCATTATATATTATAATGTAATAATAATAGAAATAAAGTTCACAATAAATGTAATGTGCTTGAATCATCCCCAAACCATCCCCTCACCCCTAGTCCATGGAAAAATTGTCTTCCATGAAACTAGTCCTGCTGCAAAAAGATTGGGGACCACTGTTCTAAAGGACTATTTAAGTGCGAATTATATAATGAAGACCACTTTACAATAATATAGGGTGTGTATAAATATTAATATTGGCAACTTAAGTTGGTCTTGGGCTGAATGACAATTTCAGTGTCATGAACAGAGCTTCCTGTAAACAAACTGCAAAGTGAGTGGAATTTGTGGACAGTACCTCTGCAACCTTTCTTTGGTTGTTCTCCCTCTGTTTGGTCTAAATAGTGTCTCTGGTCCCAAGTTCTGTAAGTGGCCAGTGCTCTAGAGCTGTTTGATGCTGTTGCAGTAGCATCGGAATGAAGAAGGAGGTTTTAAAAATCACCTAAGGCTCTTTCACTTATAATTAGCACATAACCTTACCTGTCCCTTTGAAGTATCACTATGGCTGAGGCTCCCACAAAATTCTCAGGCTGAAAATTGCTTATTTATAGCTCCTTTTTCTCTTCCCAAATGCCTATGTAAAATTATTCAAAGAAGACATGCAGATCCAAGAAGCACACTAGCCTGGTGCCATTCAGCATATGGGCAAACAGACCTCCACACTGTATTATGCCACCAGTGTTTATCCTGAATCATCATGAAGTAAAACTCTATACATGGAGTCTAGCTACTAAGACAAAAAGTGGTCCACACTTTATTTTTAGCATCCATCAAAATGAATAAAGTTATTTAAAGGTTTAGTGCTTCAAAAAGTATTATCTGAATTATCTGAAGTACATTTCCCAAAATGATTCATTTTCTAACTATTCAAGATAGCCTTAGTTTTCAAGTATCATTGCTCATTCAATGGTTCAATAAGTTAATCATGGGTTCTAGATTCCCATAATGTAAATTTCACAATCCTTAACATTATACAGTAGGTGAAAACAGACAGCCTCCCAGCAATAGGCATATTCTATTGGAATAAAAATGCAGCCAGGCATGGTGGCTCATGCGTGTAATCCCAGCACTTTGGGAGGCCGAGGTGGGCAGATCACCTGAGGTTGGGAGTTCGAGACCAGCCTGACCAACTTGGAGAAACCTTGTCTCTACTAAAAATACAAAAAAAAATCAGCCAGGCGTGGTGGTGCATGCCTGTAGTCCCGGCTACTCGGGAGGTTGAAGCAGGAGAATCGCTTGAACCCGGGAGGCGGAGGTTGTGGTGAGCGGAGATCATGCTATTTCACTCCAGCCTGGGCAATGAGAGTGGAACTCCATCTAAAAAAAAAAAAAAAAAAATGCTCTGCCTCACTAGCCTTAACTTTTTCAATCGGGAAACCTGTCTTTGATCACATTTCCTAAAGCAAAGATTGTTGCGAAAGAATAGATTATCATGAATTTTTGAATTTTGTTACCCCCACCAATAGATCACAAACTTGTTGTTTAAAACAAATGATCTCCCACTTTCCTACCTTAATAGATGTAATATAATGTGTGTGCTTTAATCTTTGCTTGACCAGTGAACCATACCATATCAAGAAAGTTGCATGATATGTTTGAGGAACTGAGAGGGCCAGAGCCACTGGAGCAAGAGAAAGAGAGAGAGAAGGGTAGGAAGAGAGGGCAGAAGAACATGGGGTAGAGTTGGCCTGCCCCAGTGGCTCACGCCTGTAATCCCAGCACTTTGGGAGGCTGAGTGGGTGGATCACAAGGTCAGGAGATTGAGACCATCCTGGCTAACACAGTGAAACCCCGTCTCTACTAAAAATACAAAAAATTAGCCAGGCTGGTGGTGGGCACCTGTAGTCCCAGCTACTCGGGAGGCTGAGGCAGGAGAATGGCATGAACCCAGGAGAAGGAGCTTGCAGTGAGCCGAGATCACACATCTGTACTCCAGCCTGGGCAACAGAGCGAGATTCCATCTAAAAAACAAACAAACAAACAAACAAAAAGGAACATGAGGTAAAGGAGATGGCATGGCTGTTATTAAACATTTGCTGCTACTCTAAATAGGCTGAGAAGCCATTGTAGAGTTTGGAGTTGAGGAATGACATGAACTGATTTTTTTAGTACAGATCGCTCCAACTGTTGGGTTGAGAATACAGTGGAAGGGACAGGGGCAGAGGTGAAGGCAGAGGGACCAGGTAACTGATTCTGCCTATAATCAAGGTGAGAGAGGAAAGTGGCTGGGACTCAGAGTGTAGGAGTGAAGGTGCCAGGTATGAGGGTTAAATGATATAACATATGCACAGCATGATAATTGGCACAGTCAGTCCCCAGTAGATGTTCACTATGATAACAGCATTCTGAACAACAAGACTCAGTAGCAGATGGTTGGTTCATTGCATGGCAGACCCAGGTAAGTGATTACAAACTAGGTAGTCGATGTCAGAATTAGAAAAGGAACTTTTTGAACATTTCTGCATGTATCAATTGAAGTGAAATTGAGTCAAAAGTAAGAGTTCATGCTGCCCTTCATTGAATTCTCTGCTTGGATTTTTTTTTTTTTTAACTACACACACACACACACACACACACACACACACACACACACACAAAATCTGTGATCAAAAAAGTTATTGAAGTGCCGTGGTTGCCCAGAATTCAGCCTGACCTTGCAGCACTCCTAGTTATTAAAAATCATTTCTATGGGCTTACATTTTTTGGTTTAACAAGCACAAGAGGCCATGAACTCTTAATATCTGAAGCAAACGTGTTAAACATCTGGGATCTGGCGTAAGCTTCTCCTGTGGGATGCATTGTTTGTGCAAACTTTTATTGAATTAAAAAAAAAAGTAAGTACTGAGTTTCAAAATATTCGTGTAACCTAGTAAGAATATTTCTCTGAATCCAGAGTCAAAATACAGAGTTTTAAAAACTGATTTATAAACTTAAATTTAAAATTAGGTTAGAAGTCTGTTCTTAAAACACAGCATGGTTTTGAAGTGGAACCAAACTTCAGCTCTAGCTCTAACAGCAGATGGCTGATCTAAGTTAAATAGGTTTTTCCAGGCTAAAGGCACAGCTTCTGACCACTCTAAGAAAGCCATGGGGTTTTCAGGAAGGGCACTGGCCTAGAGTTTAGGGCAAGTTCTGTGACAAACACAGATAATCTTGGGCAACTTACTTTACCCTGGGCTTGATTTTCCTTATTTTCTATAGAAACTGGAAGGAAAAATACTTACCCATGGATCTTAGAAATGTACGAGGATAAGAAATAAAATAAAATAATAAGTGACAGAACTTTTAAAAGTTCTACACATAAGATGAGGAGGAGGAGGAGGGGGAGGGGGAGGAGGAGGAGAAAGAGGAGGTGGAGGAGGAGGAGAAGGTGAAGGAGGAGGAGAAGGAGGTGGGGGGGGAGGGGGAGGTAGAACATAAGAGATTCCTATTTGAAGATGCAAAAGACCAAACAAACTGAACAAAGCTTTTTAATGAAGAAAGACTAAGGGTTGTCTTTGGAGTGTTCCTCTAGGGAGGGACAACCTCTTGTATTCCTTTAGTTTCTCCTTGAAGTGTTCAGGGAAGCATCCAGACACAGGAGACAGTCTTATCCATCTAGAGTAACTGACAGGCGAACAGGTCCCTCTCGACTTTCACAATCCATAGCCTAAACATTCTGAGAAGTAAGAGAGAGCAAAGCCTGGCTCAGCCCACCCCATTGCCTCTGCTAGACTGAAGGACAGGAAATAGAGAAGGAGCCAGTCCTCCCCAGAAAGGGACAGGGATAGCTTTTTAAACTCACCTCTCCCTTCTGAGAGGAGGCTGCTATTCCTTGCAATGTATTTTTGTGCAGCTGAAGATCTGGAGGGTTTCTGACCTGAACAGTGGGCTGGGAGCTGAGTTTGGGAGCTGGAGTTCTGCATAATAGAGTAGGATGAATTTGGAGTTTGGGGACTCTGTAGAAAGAGGAGATGAAGAAACAAGTTGAGTCGGGGAAAGGAAAGTGGGAACCAGTGGAACAGCAGGGATGGAGAGCTGAAAAGCAGGTTCCCTTCTGTCCTACCCTCCACTCTCAAATCCTCAGGAAATTTGCCTACACACCCAAATGCAAATGGAATGTATTCATTTCTAGGGCTGCTGTACAATGTACCACAAACTGAGTGACTTAAAACAACAGACGTTTATTCTCTCACAGTTCTGGAGGCCAGAAGTCCAAAATCAAGGAGTCAGCAGGGCCATGCTCCTTCCAGAGGCTCTAGGGGAGAATCCTTCCCGGCCTCTTCCTAGCTTCTGTTGGTCATGTAAATCCTTGAAGTTCCTTGGTTTATAGCCTCAAAACTCCAACTCTGCTTCCATCTTTGCATGGCTGCCCTCTTCTCTGTGTATCTTTGTGTGTCCTCTTGTAAGGACATCAGTCATTGGATGTAGAGCTAACCCTATTCCAGCATGACCTCATCTTAACTTGACTAATTACATGTGCAGAGATCCTGTTTCCAAATGAGGTCACATTCCATGTGGACGTATATTTTCGGGAGGACACTATTCAACTCACTACAGTGTTGTTTATTTTTGTTCTTATGGAAATCAAGTAAGAAGTAGAATCTCATCTCAGGGGCAACTGGCAAGGGACGATTGGATGGTGGGGGACGAGGGGAGTTGTGGCGGTGGTAAAAATGGCCTGTGAACCAAACGAATCCAAGGGAAGTGCCGAGGTTGGAGTCAGAAGTGACCACAAAAATAAAAGCCCCCTCCACTTCCCATGGGAGTTTTAGAAGTGTGGGAAGACTTTGGAATTCCACAGGGCATGGAGTAAGTTCAAAGCAATATCATCCAGATCTCAAAGGCCAGGAAACCACAGCTGACTTCTGGGTTACAAATAAAACAAAGACATATGAGAGAGGAGAAAAAAAGATGAAGCAGAAGGAAGGACAAACGGTGGAGAGATGAGCATGAAAGACAGATGAGTTTTTGAAGAGAGACAAGGGAGGGAAAATCACCAGTTCTTTGGGGTCAGGGTTAAGGCTCTAGCACCTGGCATATAAAAGGTATTCAAGATATGTTTAGAGGCCAGGCGTGCTGGCTCACACCTATAATCCCATCATTTCAGGAGGCTGAAGTGGGTGGATCACTTGAGATCAGGAGTTTGAGACCAGCCTGGCCAACATGGTGAAACGCTGTCTTTACTAAAACATACAGAAATTAGCTGGGCATGGTGGTGCACACCTGTAGTCCCAGCTACTTGGGAGGCCAAGGCACGAGAATTGCTTGAACCCAGGAGGCGGAAGTAGTTACAATGAGCTGAGATCACGCCCTTGCACTCCAGCCTGTGTGACAAAGTGAGACCTTGTCTCAAAAAAAAAAAAAAAAGAAAAAAAAAGTAAGTTTAGGGAAGGAAAAAGGAAGATAGGGAGGAGAGAGAGCTGTGCCTGGGAGGCCTCATGTGGTGTCACTAACAATTGCCTCCCCTGTCCCCAGAGCTGTCTATATTGTGGCTGTTTGTTCATGACCCTAATTAATGTCAAAGCGCAGAGTGCCATGTGGGAACCCTCTCTGCACCACAGGTCTTTAGACTGAAGAGGCAGCAGTCCCTCTTCCACCAAGGCCTCTGGAGTCTCTCCATCCTTTTCCAATGGTGCTTATTCTATCTAAACTCTCATTTGAGTGGCCACATATCCTGGCCTCTTTGTGGTTTTTGCTGTCCCTAGTGCCACCAGAGTTTACCCTACCTTGAAAGGTCACAGAAGTGGTCTAAATTAGGGAATATCCTTCAACACAAAAAGGCAAGGAGAGCCCTGTGGATTAAGCCAATTGTTTTTAGATCACTTGAGATACAAGTAGTTAAAACAGCTTAGGATTGGAAAGATCTTGTGGTTTATGAGAAACAGCACTAGACCAAAGGTAGGTCAAGCAAGAGACCCATCTGCCAATCTGCCACTCACTCCCAGCCTTCCCTGAAGCTAGTCAATCCCCAGCTCCAACCTCAGAGTCCTCATTGTAAAGGCATTTGTCCCTTATGACGGAATTTCTAGATCCTTTCAGTTGTCGTGGACTATATTCTATACTTTTCTGGAAGCATTCTCAACAAAATATAATTAAAATTACCTCCCTGGTACACCCATAGTGCATTTCCAGAGGGAAAATGTTGCTAGAGACTCCCTTCCCAGTTTGTAGAAAGTGGCCAGGAAATGGGTCTGATTTCAAATCTCTCTGAAATGCAATGAGAGAAAAGCACTGAGGGAATGCTGAAGTGGGGTCACTTTTGTCCCCCAAGTTCCAGGAACCATTTATAAACCGAGTTGTGGCTTGGGTGAATGGCTTGTAAGTTTGAAGTGAAGAAAGATGTAGGGGTACCAGCTGCTTGCTCAGATAACAGGGAAAAAAGACACCAAGCACCTCCACACACATCACCTTATTTCTCAAAACAACTGGAGGAGGTATTATTATCCCCATTTAACAGATGAGAAAAGTGAGGCTCAAAGAACCTCAGTAAATTAGTCCAGGTCACAAACTAGTAAGTGGCAGGGTTGAGACCCAAATCCAGGTCTATTCAACTCCAATCCCAGCATTCCTTCCACTATTGGCAACAGATTGGCACTATGATGTCCAGTCACCTGAACCACAACAAAATTCCTATAAAGAACCAGAGTGGTACCCAGCCTACTTTTCCAAGTTTGCGTAAAGAACAGAGCCATGCTTTTGAGTTGGGAGTAACAGCTGTTTGGGCAGGGACCAGAGCAAGAAATTGTTCATGCAGGGATATTTAACCAGCTCAGCGCCCAGAACAGAGTGGAAGCTTGAAGAATATTTGGGTTTTTGTTGTTGTTGTTTGTTTGTTTTTTGAGATAGGGTATTGCTCTGTTGCCCAGGCTGGAATGCATTGGTGCCATCATGGCTCACTGCAGCCTCAACTTCTTGGGCTTAAGTGATCCTCCCACTTCAACCTCTTGAGTAGCTGGGACCACAGGCACGAACCATTATGCTTGGCTGATTCTTTCCTCTTCTTCCTCTTCCTCCTCCTCCTCCTCCTCCTCCTCCTGCTTCTTCTGCTTCTCTTTCTTTTTCTTTTTTTTTCTTTTTTTTGGTAAAGATGGGGTTTCACCGTATTTCCTAGGCTGGTCTCAAACCTCTGGCCTCAAGCAATCCACCAGCCTCAGCCTCCCAAAGTGCTGAGATTACCGGCATGAGCCACCACTCCCAACCAAGAATATTTGTTGAGAAGTTGAGTAAATACAGGATTCAGGGTTGACATCGACATCTTTTCTTTCTTTCTTTTTTTTTTTTTTTTTGAGACGGAGTCTTGCTCTGTCGCCCAGGCTGGAGTGCAGCGGTGCAATTTTGGCTCACTGCAAGCTCTGCCTCCCGAGTTCACGCCATTCTCCTGCCTCAGCCTCCCCAGTAGCTGGGACCACAGGCACCCGCCACCACGCCCGGCTAATTTTTTGTATTTTTAGTAGAGACGGGGTTTCACTGTGTTAGCTAGGATGGTCTTGATCTCCTGACCTCATGATCTGCCTGCTTCGGCCTCCCAAAGTGCTGGGATTACAGACGTGAGCCACCACGTCCGGCTGACATCGACGTCTTCTGCAGGTTACCAAAGAAGGATCTGAGGCTCAGAGAGGCCGGATGACTTGCCCTAGGTCACATAGCAGAGAGAATTGGACAAAGAACCAAAGATGTCTAGACTTCAGACAGAGATCTTCCTTCACATCACCATAACTCCTCTGGCCAGGAGAATTTTTCCTGTACATTTTAATTAAATGCAGTATACTTTGAGCCAAATGAATGCTAACCTCCAACTGAGAACACTTATTTGCCTAATGAGTTCTTTAGCAAAAGACTCTGCTGCTTCAGGATGCAGAGATAGCTTGGTTAATGCATGTTTCAGTTTTCATATTATGCTATGAGTCATTTTTGTTTATCTTAGAATTCTTTCCTCATCTGTTGTGTGTGGTGGCCCCAGTCACCAGGGATAGGAACTTTGTCACTCACTCAGGAAGTGATGGACTGACTCCCTGTGAGTGGATGAAGAAACTGCTTTCATAAGCGTGGTCATGCAGATCAAAGTGTGGGTCCTCTACACATGTTCCCAATTAACTGTGGCCATCCCATTCCGTGTCCCTTGCACTCTCCAGCATAGTTTCTAATCCTTTAACAGCCCAAACAACAAGAGGGAAGCCCAGCCCAGCCAAAACAAAAGCAGAACACAGCCAAAGGAAGATGAAAACATCCTAGTGATTAGTGAGAGAGATCCAAATATCCCAGTATCTGGAGGCACCTCGGGGTACTGGGATATTTGGAGCTTCTCACCGCAGGGGGTCGCCTCATCTGCACCCAGTGTCACTTCCCACAAGGACCCCAGAGCTCAGTCTGTAGCACCAGACTCTGTGCTTTGATACACACTGCTGGCCATCTTCACAATACCTTCACCCAAATGTGGCCATCTTCAATTCAGCATGTTTCATTTGTCAAACTGTGTAGTTAAGATCTATCCATTTAACTGTATGTAAGTATTACCTTAACAAAACATAAAAATTTTAAAAAAGAAGCAAGTTTAAAATGACATTCACCTTTCCCTTCTACCAAAACTCTTCCTCCTGAGGTCTTTAGCCCACTCAGGGTGTCCTTTGGCTCCCTAAACCTCCATACCCAATCAATCACCAAGATCTATTGATTCCACCTATTCCATTTCTCTTGAAGCTTTCCCCTTCTCTGCATTTTCCCATCATCGCATTCTGCTCAACCTACTGACACTGACCACCTACTATGGGCCAGGCACTGTGCGAGACTGTAAGTCTACATTATGAACAACACACAAATAGTATCATGCTGGAGTTTGCATTTTAGAACCCCAGGTGGAAACTACACCACAGGGGCACTGGTAATACAAAAGGAGTGACTCCCTCTACACAGGGGTGGGGGCTTGGTGGGCTGCACAGACCACACAGGTCAGGGATGG